TTTGGAAGTGTTAATCCAAGCACTTTGACTCATCAAATTCTCTCAATGTATAAGCCTAAATATAGTCATGTATGATCTTGTTTGATTTGTCTTAACATATAGATTATTAATATATAATTTCTATAATTTTTTAATATACAAATTACAAGATAAAATGGATTAAAGAAGTGTATTGAATGGTGTGTAAAAATGAAAGTGGACAAATACTCTGGGACGGAGGTAGTATATTTTTTCTTCTCACATTTCAAAGCTAAGCAAGAAAAGTACATTTATACATACTTTTTTCTTATATAATTTTTAGACTATTTTTTTGGGATGGTACACACTCTCTTAATGCTACTCCTTTCGTCTCAAATGCATCTAATTTAGGAAATGATTTTAAATATCCCCTTTTCAGATTTATCTCGACAAGATGCACTCTGATGTGATGCACTGTGATAACAGATATATGCATTTTGATTTGTTCTCCAGATTTTATTCAAATTTCATTCTATTAATTTATGGATTAGCCAAGAGTGACTCCTGCATGACTTTATATGCGATGAGAAAGTCATAGAATGCATTATATTCCAAATAATTGTAATATAAGTTTTGAGAAATGGTTTGCCTATGCAGGATTCGAACCCACATTTGTAGTACATACTGCTCTACCATTTGAGTTAATAGGTAATGATTTGTTTTTTCAAAGAGACTCTCATCACTTGGACCTATTATATACATATTTTAATATATTAAAATTTGCTGTTTCCAACTCCCATCCAAATGTATCATAGCATATGTTAAACGCATCATCGTTTGCATAAAATTTTTGATTTAGAATATACAAACGCATCATCTTTGGCTAGAATGATTTCATCAAAATATATGCATTTTACTTTGACTCTAAGAATGCGTAGTAACAGGGAATACATTATCCTTTGATTTTGAGAATGCATTGTTTTCTCATCTAAATGTATTACCTTAATAGTGATAATGCACAATAACATAAACTATTAGCATTAAAAGTTTGTAAAAGACAAAATGGCACACAAGAGAGTTTTCACAAATAGTTATAGTAAATATGCACTGTTTTGAGTAGCAATATGCACTATTCAAAGAAGGCATTGATCAATCAGTTTTCAATTGCAAACCCCAATTTCAAAGGAAATAATATTGGATAAGATAGACATAAAAGGAACAAACCTGATCAGTTTGAGAGTATAGATGCACAACAGAGAACTTTATGAGCAAATAAATACAAACTAAAATATCATATGTATAAATGGTGAATTGTAACGGAGTATGAAAATCATATCCATACATGAAAAGAAACCCGAAATTAATATCATATCCACACATGAAATTAAATTGAAATTTGAAAACAAAACAAAAGTGATATGGAAAATCAGATCGAAACCTCAATATGTTGTAATTTATGAAAAGGAATAAATATACACAATACCTGATTGAGACGGATATCCATCAGATGTATTGTGTAACGGAGCTGGAGAATAGTTGCTCGTTAATCGTGGAATGAGGCATAGCGGTATGAATAAAGAATCGCATTCTTAATTATGGAAATCACGAAACTAATATTTTTCAATGTAATATTTTTCTAGACTAAAGAAAAACATTTCTAACATAATTTTTTAATACTATCAACATCAACGTCAAAGTAGAATACGTAATAGTTAAAGAACTACAAGTGTACACGAGTAAGTTGTGTTTAAATCTAAATTTTTTGAAAGACTTAGGGTATATAACATTTTTGGTATGACTACAAGGGTTTTCGTTGTTATTTAGAATCAATATTTTTTTATCATGTCATTGTCTTCACTAATGAAACAACAACATATATAAAATTGACCATGAGTGAATACTGACTTAGTTAAAAATAATCCATTAAAAGTCAGTGTTTGACCTTTACATTTTTTCTTGATATTTTATTACGGAGTATATTTTAATGTTATACGTTGACATATTTGACATTATTCAACATCATTTTATGTCCATATGCATTAGTATATTTGGCATTGAAGTTTTGGTTGGCATTGTGTAGTGACATTTTGGTATTGCAGCGGGCAGCATTGGTTGTTTAATGAATCAACAGTACACTAATTTTTATTTAAATGAATTTTGGTCTTATTTTGGGAATAAAAACACGAAAGTCATATTTTGGTTATGTGAGGGCGGTGCTGCGGTTTGCCGCTGCCCAATTCAATTTTTTTCACCGATCCTTTTTTTTCAATTTAATTTTTTAAAATTTTACACCTTTTTTCTTTAATGTATTCAATTTCAATTTTTTTATATTTCAATTTATTTAATTTCAATAAATAATAATTAACTATATTTAATCTTTTTATTTAATTTTTTCAATTTGAATTTATTACTTTTATTTTATTTATTATTATTTATCTATTTTATTTATAAAAAACTATTTGTATTAAATGTATATAAGTTTTGTTTTTATATGGATTTTTTTCTTTAAAAAATGGATTTAAAAGAATAATTTTAAAAAATGGAGAGATGGGTTTTCGGGGCGATAACATTGCGGAATTTTAAGACAAGGTAGAAAGTTTATGGAATGTTGATGTGACCGGAGTTGGGGCAGAGCGGAAATTCTCCCATTGTAAATGCTCTTATGTTACATTTTTGGGGGGTGGAACTAATGGAAGTAGTACTGCTTCTATTTTGGAAGATTTGTGTAAGATTGACCCAATATTTTAAAAATAATTTCACCTTTAACTGTGATGCATAATAATCTTAAGTTTACTAAAATTTGTGAGTTTTGGGTTGGCGTTTAGTTGCTAACGGCGGGTTAACAAAAATGACCTATTTTGCGCAACAAAATGAAAGTTGAGATTATTTTTGATAAATTTTCATTTTTTCATTTTTTTTTAAAATTTTCATTGAATTTTTTGAAAAAGACTCTACCTCCATTTCTTTTTCTTAGAGATTAATCTTACCTTATAAAAATAAAAAAAATGAATATAAAAATAATGAAAATGGAAAGATAACTAAAATCATACAAAATTAATGAAATAGATAAGATAATCAAGGGAAAAAGACTGGAGTAGAAGTAAAACATTGAAAATATACTAAAATAAGAGTTCCATGGTTTTATTTCCGAAATAAAAATTAAAATGCATTTACATTATCAATAATGACCATGTACATTACACAAAAATTTAAAAAAACAAAAGATTCATCAAAATAACCTCATTTTGATTTTGGTGCGCAAAACAGGTCGTTCCTGTTAACTCGCCGTTCGTAATTTAATGGCGATCTAAAAATTACAAATTTCAATAAAATTTAAATTACTCCGTATTTTACATCACAGTTAAAAATGAGATTATTTTTTAAAAGTACTCCCTCCGTCCCTAAATATTTGCCACACTTGTATTCCCGAGGCAAAATATCAAATTTTTTCAATTCATTTTATTTACATATTGGTATGAAAATAAAAAATAAAATTTACATATAAAAAAACTACATGAAAAGTTCTTCGAAATAAGAGGTGTCAAGAATATTTTATTTTATCAAATAACCAATGAAAACGTAGAAATAAACAAAAGTTCTCGCGACTGCTGAAAAAGCAAATGTTCCGAATATTTTGGGACGGAGGGAGTAATGTAAAATTGAAATTTTCCAAAGATAATTTTTACTAAGATGAATGGAGTACACACTATTGTCAAGATTTCAGTTGCATTTTGTGACTTTGTTTTTCGGGGGAGCAATTACCCATCAGTGTAAAATTTTAAGATCAAATTTCTAACAATGTAAAACGTGTTCGTTGAACACGAAATAGTTTATTCCAATTAAAGTTGTGTTCGGCAAACACAACTTTGACTCCCTAATTAAACTTGTGTTCAGCAAACACAAGTTGTTCTTTTTAATTAAATTGAAATGGTTAAACGTTAATTTTACGGAGTACTCCCTGCGTCCCTAAATAGATTACAATTTTTTTCTCTCTCCTCTGGATAACTTTTGTTTGTTTACGCGATTTCATTAAGTATTTGATAAAATAAAATATTCTTGTCACCTCTTGATTTGTAGAACTTTTGACATAGTTTTTTAATATGTAATTTTTATATCTTATTGATATACCAATTCGTAAATAAAATGATTTCAAAAGGTATAAAATTTTACTCCGTAACCCGCAATTTGTAATCAAATTGGGGACGGAGGGAGTATAACACAATTAAATATATGGTGCAATGGATGAAACTACAATTTGTATAACACAAAAAAAATTAAACATAACACTACCTATTTAAAACAAAACATGGTATAAAAATGAATAAATTCCATAAAAGATCCCCAGTTATAGGTCGTTTTACATATTTAGTCCCTACATATCAAATATTACTAATTTAGTCCCTAATTATTATATTCATTTCCACGAATGGTACTTTGTTAACATTTCCGTAAAATCATGGAGTGTGGATATCAACTCCCAATAAAAAACATACCTTTTATCATTAGCACAGAAAAATCGAAAATTTCAAGACAAGGAATCACAAATTTTTCTGTGAAATTGTGTTTAGCGATCCCGGATTATATAGTCAAAGGAACTTGTGTTCAGCGAACACGAATTTGAACAACTTGGGATGGCATCTTTAATTAATGCTGGGCAGCGCGCGTGATGACTTTGGCTTGGGGAATCTGACGCAACTCGTGTTCAGGGAACACGATTTTAATTAATATTTCAAACTCGTGTTTCGCGAACACGATTTTAATTAATATTTCAAAACTCGTGTTCGCCAAACCTACATTTCACGGATAGGAAATACTTTTCAAAATTAGGAATTTGTATTGTGTTAAATATGACAGATATATTACTCTTAGTATTTAGAATATCCGGTTACCTTGTTTACCTAGACTTTACCTCCTCCCCGTGATACCCAGATATATGATGAATAAACTACTCACTTCATAAACCCTAATTCTTTTGGCCGTCTCCCTTCCAGTCTGCCGTGATCCACCGTGTAGCTTATCTTCTTCTTTTACGTTCAAACACCGTACAATTGGTGACACACACAAATCTCCGTTACACATCCAAATCAAGATACGTTTTTCTATCATATATTACTATTACCCTTAAGATGGCGGAGAATACGGAACAATCACCGGATGACCGGCGGCGGCAGCCCGGCCGGTTGCAGAGGAAAGCGCCGGCGTCGATCCAGATTAACCCCACCACGGATTGGAATGTGGCAATACCACTTCTATCGCCATTGATCACATCGCCTGTTTCGAGCGATTTGACGGCATCGGTTGAATTGTGTTCGAATTCGAGTCGGGAGTAGGAGACGGTGAAAGAGGCGGAGAAGTTTTCGGCGACGGCGACAGTGGTCAAGGGGTGGAAACATCCGGCCGCACCGTTTTGCTCCGATCTGGCTCCGCTAGTGAAGTTGGTCTTTTCTAGAAGCAACGATCGATGATCTCAGATCTGTATGCAAAACGGAACAATCACCCATTGCAGAGTACACCCATGGATTTCAAAAAAAGTAGTGTTTTACATTGCTTGTGGCAAAGTGGGCAGCGCACACTGAACATATCATATTTTTTGGTCGCCAGTAATCGATCCGCTATTTGTTTTCAATCACTGCTCTCACGGTCCAGGTACCTATAATTTTCAGAAATTGACAGGTTGAAATTTAAGTTGCATATTAAAATTTAAATTGCATATCAAAATTGGCAAATTTTTAAGTAGCTAACTTTATTACGGAGTATCAAACAAAATGCTGTTTTTGATTACCTTCTAAAGAGAATTCACCTATATAATGTATGATTATACTCCGTATAAAACTCTGTATGCTTAAAAAAACTTATTTGGCCTAAAGATAATTAGAAGGGATGCACATAAGGATTAGCTCGTTATAAAGCTTAATTATGATGGATGTTTTCATAGCCATTATACACATATTTAGAGATTAATTTAATTGTTATACATATTTACATCCTATGGTAAAATGGTGATTTAGACCATTTTCATTTTCTGCTCTTTTACTGGAAATTTCTTTTGGTTTTTTTTTAGTGCAATTTTGGAATCAATCTGCATACTATGCTATATCACGAAACAATTGAAAAAAAAGGTTTCCAACATGTGCTATATAGTTTGATTATCATGAATACATGTCATGAAATTAAATTCTTTGATTCCAACATACATATTTTATTATTTGATCCCATCCCAAATGTGATAAATCTTTTATTGACTACGTATCTGAGAGATACATGACATAGAAAAGAGAACATCAACTATTCGTGATGACAATTTATATGTTTTATATAATGCATCGTTATATTTGTCATATTTGTTGACAATTAACTCGTAACCCAAAGTTTATGATATTTGTCCATATATTATATTATGGACACAATTTATAGGTTATGTTGAACATCATTAGTCACAAAAGAGCCTGCAGCTCTAGTTAATATGTAAAGTGCATCAAATTGGTGGCTATACTTTTGATTATGAGAACAAATCATTTTATATTGATTTTTGAATCTTCATTTATATGGTAATTATTTGGAGTGGATGCTTAATGGGCTTAAATTAAGATGAATTATCAAGATACCACAATGGTAGGTAGACACTGAGGGAAGGTTTTTGAAGGAATTGAATGGAAGATAAATTCCATGACATATGCTAGATTATATATATTCTTCAATTAAAGAAAATGTGAACATGAAGTTCAAGAAAGAAGATTGTACTAAGATATTGCAAATACAGTGCTCATCAAGAATTTTATGTGTCAATTGTAAACACTTTGATTAGAAGTGAATTCTTGATATCTTTATCAACCATAAAAAAAATGATCTTATTATAAGGAACTTGTAGTTCCAACATATGAGAACTTGAAGTTCTCCTTCACATGTATTTTATATACACATGTTCATTTTATTAATCCTTCCCTATAAATAAAATGTCAAATATTCAAAATTTGAATTTCTTACACTTGATATCTCCCGATGAGAAACAAGTTTGTCCCTTCTGACAATATTTGATTGTGTGTCGTATATGCCCCCTCCCCTACAATGCATTCAATATAATGTAGAAGACTGTGTATTGACATTGGCTATAACTCCTCGTCTATTGTTAAATGTTTAGAGTTTTTGACAGGAGATATATTTACAACAAAGTAACTTGATTGTCAATTTTATGACAAAGTATTCTCAGTCTTAGGGGGAGACAAGAATAATGAAAGACTGGTAATACAAGAAATTATATAAAATGCATCATCATTGTAAGTTTTGACTCCTGAAGTGGTCAATGTAATTTTGAAGTCTGATTTGCAAAGAAGAGCAAATGAATTACTAGATGCATTCTCATATACGAGCAGAGTGACAAAGTTACATATACCAGCATCTTATACATCGCTCGATTTAAGGTAGTCCCAAAAGTGACAATTGTACAATGAAAGTGGGAGGTTCCAAAGATAAGGACCCACGAAAATGAAAATAGCAGAAAAATGCTATTAGTGAAACCACATACATGATTAGAACTGCAACCCCCGAAGAGGACATTGTCCCAGAAGAGACTAATACTATTCTAGAAGAAAATGAAACCCAGAAGAGGTAAATGTTCTGGAAGAGACTAATATGATTCTAGAAGAATAAGTTTCTTAAAGAAACATCGGTACCGAATGAAAATGAGATCTCTATTAATTATGTACGAGACTGTACAATATGGAACCAAAATGAAACACGTGTTAATGATATTCTTGCATATGCTATAGCAATGGATGTAATTAATAAAAGAGATTACTTGCCTAAAACTCAAAGAAGAGTACATGTAGATAGTACATAAATGATTTGCCAAATGGCAAAAGACCTTGAAGGTCGAATATAAGTCACTCGATAAACGAAATATTTTCGGACCTGAAGTCTGAACACCCATAGACGTCAAACCAATAGGTTATAAATGGGTGTCTGTAATAAACAGAAATAAAATGAATGAGATTGTGCGATATGAAATACTACTTGTAAGGCAAGAGTTTTCCCAAATCCCAGGAGTTGATTATGGGGAAACACATTCTCCAGTAGTGGATGAGATATCCTTTTAGAATTTTAATTTGCCTCGCAATCTCAAAAGGACTTCAAATAAATGATATGGATGTCGTTATAACATAATTATAAGAGACACTTGAAATTGACATCTATGTGATAATAATCCCTGAAGGATTCAAAATGCCAGAAGCAATAAAAATTAATACATCGAGATGTGTGTGAAGAGATCATGGAATGGTCTCAAGTAATCTGGTCATATGTGGTACATTTGACCCAGTGAATATCTCGAAAAAGAAAGATAAATTTGAAATGAACCTATGTGTTGTCATTCAAGGATCGCTCTCAATATTCTTTACTATAGCAGTTTACGTCGACGTATAAATATCATTAGATCTCCTGAAGAGATAGAAAAAACTGTTGAACTCTTGAAGAGAGAATTTGAGAAGGAAGATCCTAACATGACATAAATTATACTTCAGATTGTATTTTAAACACGTATATGACGGAACATTTATCAATAATTTAAACTACGTCCAGAAGATGTTAACACATTGAAATATGGATAAAGCTCATCTTTTGAACATACCCATGGTTGTTCACTCATATATATACATAAACATTCTAATCGCCTCCCAGAAGAGGGCGAAGAAGTACTTGGTCCTGCAGTACCAAATTTTAAGTGTGAAATTAGACAGGTAATGTGTTCACATATGGTGATACAACTTTTCTTGGAAGTCGACTAAGCGAGCACGAACAACAACATGGAATCAAGCCGAACTGATAGCATTATTCGACAGTGATCGAGAGCGAGCATGATAGAGATTGATGATCAATCTCATATAAGGAGCATGCAGTTTGAAAGAAATCAAGAAGAATACTACGATTATATATAAAGATAACGCAACATGCATACCTCAAATCAAGGAAGGCTACATCAAGGGAGATAAAATGAAGCAAATCTCAGCAAAGTTTTTCTCAACATCTGATATGCAGAAAGAAGGAGAGATCGATGTTCTTCAAGTTAAATCAAGCAAAATTTGGCGGACTTATTCACCAAATCTCTACCTAGATACAATTTTGAGCAACTCAGAAAGAAGATTGGACTTCGCAGGCTAAAATAGATAAATTAGTTTGAGGAGGAGTATATTTTTATTTTGAGGGAAAATATTATACACGCTGTACTCTTTTTCCCTTAACTAAGTTTTGTCCCACTGGGTTTTCTTAGTAAGGTTTTTAATGAGGCAGCATAACTGATCCTGCAGTATCAGTTAATATAGGTCATGAAGAACCTAGCCAACATTATCCTATAGCATAATGTTGTTAGTGTATAATGAACGATGATATATCTGAGGGGGAGTGTTAAATATGGCAGATATATTATTCTTAGTATTTAGAATATCCGGTTACCTTGTTTACTTAGATTTTACCTCCTCCCCGTGTATGTATAAATACCCCGATATATGATGAATAAACTACTCAGTTCATAACATATTGTACTACTCAGTTCATAACCACCCTTTTTCCTGTGAGTTGAAAAGGTACTTTGTCTTCAGGTGACTTTGTATTCCCGTGTAGTAACTCTAGTCTTCTACAGTTCTACCCGGAGCAGCAGCAATTGGATCTGAATCTCCCATTTCATCCATAAGGCCATAATACTAATAATGAATAATAATATGGGCCAAAGCAAGCCTGCTTTCTTCAAGGTATTAATCGGCGACGACTTCGCTACCCACCTCGTACGCTCCTCCTCCTCCTCCGATCTACTTTTTTTCTTCCCCTTTTTTCATTCCTCTCTACATTTTATACTCCCATTTTTTTTTCTGAAATTATTACCCGTACAATTTATTTTTTCTTCTTCCCAGAGGTTGCCGCCGTATTTCATCTATAAATTCGGGAAGCTGCTGCCGGAATGCCCGGTTCTGACGGTCGAATGCGGCGGCGGGGAGGCCTCGTGGCGCGTGAAGCTGGGCGAAGTTGCGGCGGAGGGGCGGTGCTTCGCCGATGGGTGGCCGGAATTCGTGAGGGATCTGGGTCTGGGACGCCATGATTTTCTGGTGTTTTGGTTGGAATCCCCATCCAAGTTCCTGGTCGAGGTTTTTAATGAAGATGGGACTGCCAAGGAATTTGATTGCCTTCAAGGTACAATTTGCTGTATTTGTTTAAGGGGAAATTCATTTTGTGCATTGGGTAGTGATATATTCAGAGTAATTTTAAAAAATTAAATCAAATTTTAGTATATGAGAAGTTTCATGTGTGTTTTTTGTCTAGTCCATTATCCACCCAAACCTAAAGCATTGTAAAAAATGGCTCTTTTAGCTCCATTGGCAATGAACAAGTAAAAAAGAAGTAAAACAAGTGGCAGCTTGTTTGCTAAATGCTTGATTTGTCAAATTTTGACTAAATTGACCGAGTTAAATCACCCAAAGAAACGTTTTGTAAATGTTATTTTTAAGGTGACAGGTATCTATAAGTTTTGTAATTATATTAAGAACTTTTTTCAGTCTCTAAACGTATTACAGAGTACTTATATGCGGAGTATTAATTTGTTCAGGTAAAAGGCAATAACATTTACATTCAAATTATCATCAATTTTAATAATATAACTCCTTAATACTACTATTTTGTACTATTAAACATGTTATTTTACCATAAAGAGGAGGACTCACCATGTCCCAATTTGAGTGCCCGTCGTCGTCTAAGTGCTCTTGATGACTAGTTACTGAGTTTGGCTGTTTCTTGAAAGGCAAAGTTTCCCCAAGGAAGGAAGATGCATGCGAGTTAGATGTGGTGCCACCATCGTCAACCGATGTCATCAAGGGGAAGACATTGTCATTTTCAGCCAAATTTAAATGTTCCAACAGATACAGAGCGGTAGTCAAGATTACTTCCTTTTCTTTTTTATTGTGTTATTTGCTCCGTTACGCACGAACACTTATTGATTTTTGAGTTTTAGCACAACATTTAGTAAAAAGCATCATATACACGTACTATACTTTTACCGTTGATTAAGGATGTTACTTTTTGCCAACGATTCCTCCAAAGGGTAATGAGCAAGCTAACAATCTCGAATATGGAGAATCCAAGGTCACCCGACGTTATTTTACTATAAAAGAAAGGGCTGGGGAACCCCACTTGTGACACTCTTTTTTACTTTTTGACACCAAATACACACAGATGATAAGTCAATAAGTGTCTGTGTGGAAGTTACTCTAGTTGCCTTTGGTGTCAAAAGTGGTGTCACAACTAGGGTTCCCCAGGCATTGCCCATTTTAGGAATATTGTGCTAAAACTAAAAAGTTCCAGAAAAGTCCGCGACGGATGACACAAATGACCCTTTGTTTAGTTTGGTTTAACGAAAGGCATAATGCTTGGTGATTAATATTGTTGAGCAGCCAATACCAGCCAACTTCATGAGAGAGACAGGAATTAAGAGCAAGTGGGGGATGGTGAAGGATACAACCGGAAGGGAATGGCCGATGCGGATCAATGGCGACAGGAGCAAGGAGTTGGGAAAGGGGTGGAGTGACTTTACAACTCAAAATCGCCTACTCCCGGGGGACACTTGTACCTTCACCTACAACTACGTCGAGAATGAGGGAGATAACACTAGCAGCGGCTGGCTGCTCCGAGTTGCTGTGCAGAGACGAGGAAGTCTATAGGCCAAAAAAAAGCCATGGCTAGCAACTGGTTACTCTTATTAGGTAGGTGCCTTTTAGTCCATTATTACGGAAATTTATTATTATTATTATTATTATTATTATTATTATTGTTATTATGTGTTTGATGATCTGTTTTGTGCCCCCTTTCATTTGCCACTTGTGGACATGTTTTTAGGTCATTGACGATTTTTATGGCTCATTTGGTTTGAATTGTTCTCTTGGCTAATTTTGATCCTCAAGATTAGCTAGAATGGTTTATTTGATTCATCTGTTGATTGTAGGGATTTAACAATGGGCTGCTTTTCAAAAGTAGCTTCTGGAGTGTGTTTAGCACCAATTGATTCTTGTTGATTTTAAAAATTAGAATCATCCGGCCATAGTATTAAAAATCGGATCGGATCGACTTGTTCGGACCGTGAACTGATGAATCGGTGGTCGAACCAGTCTGGTTTAGTCCTTTGGACTGGGATCTGCTCTGAATTGGTCCAAACCGGTGTGAACTGGCCAGTCGAACCGGTTACACCAATTTTTATTTTTATTTTTATGCAATTTTTTCTCAAAAAGTTTCAAGCATGGGGGTTTGAACTTCCAATAGAGATTTTCCCAAAGGTTTGATATGAATGTCGACTAGTTGATGGGAGGGGGACACATGCTTTGTGTGAATTATGCCACACAAAAGCTCATCGTGAACAGAGTGAAAATTAATCTCAATATGCTTTGTTTGCTCGTGGAATATTGGATTGGCTGCCATGTGAACGGTAAAGTGCAACAATGTTGTATAGTTAAGGAACGTGAAAATCTCAAAGTTTAACGAACAAAAAATAGAATGCATTGTTACGTAAAGACTGCATGTGAAAATATTTGTAATTAAAGTGTTATTAATATTCTTAGTGAAGAATTACAAAAAGAGACAATATTTGGCTATATAACTCTCAAAATCAAATTGGTTCAAATGAGAGACTACATCGATATTTATAATTGAAATGAGAGATAATGTTGACGTGTGACCTTACTATAGTCACGTGAAGAATCACACTAGACCATAATTAATTATACTTCCTTCGTTCCTAAATATATTTCACAATTCTATTATCAAGTTAAATATCAAATTTTTTCAATTTATTTTATTTATATATTGGTATAGAAATAAAAAATAATTTCTCCGTTGCATAAAACCCTCCCCCTTTTATTTTTTTCCAATTCTCTAAAAGACTTTCACTTTCTGTTAAAAAACTATTTTTACTCCTACTTTTTCAATGATAACTAAACTATCACATCTTACTTTTACTCATTACATCAGGGGCAAAATTGGAAAGTCAACTAAAATTACATTATCCTTATTTTGGCCCAAAATCAAAATAGAAAGTGTTTAAGAAGACGGAGGAGTAAAATTTATAAAAAATTTAGATGAAAAGTTCTTCAAAATAAGAAGTGTCAAGAATTTTTTTTATCAAATAGTTAATGAAAATGTAGAATTAAATAAAAGTTTTCGTAACTACTGAAAAAACAGATGTAAGATATATTTAGGGACGAGAGAAGTACTCCGTATTGTTTAGATTGTAGCTCTTAGAGCACTGGAAATACTCGTGAAGCTTCGGGGCTTCAAACCGGGCTTCAAAATTTTTTTCTCTGCCACATTAGCTCTAGCTTACCTCACAGATTCAGTGAAAATGAGTTTGAAGCCCGGGGCCTCACATCTTCATTTTTTACATTTTTAAATATACATATTCTAAATTTAAATTTAAAATCTTAATTAATTTATTATTTAAATTAATCAAAATGAGACTAGTGCATTAAAAAAATATTACATTTGATGGGTATATCCCTATACCCGACCCGGACAACCGAAAGGGACAGGTCAAAATATGACCGGTCACTTTTATCTATCACCAAATGAGGTTAACTCTTCGATTGGGACGGGTCAAAAGTTGACCGGTCACTTCCACTAAAAAAGTGACCGGTCACATTTTGGGCGATAGCCAAAATGTCGCCTAATGTTACAAAGGACATTCTAGAAGACCAGAGACGGGTTGAGCACAAAGAATGACCGGGTAACCTTTGAGAGAAGGTGACCGGTCATGTCACTTTACTTTGCAAACATTGGTNTTTTAAATATACATATTCTAAATTTAAATTTAAAATCTTAATTAATTTATTATTTAAATTAATCAAAATGAGACTAGTGCATTAAAAAAATATTACATTTGATGGGTATATCCCTATACCCGACCCGGACAACCGAAAGGGACAGGTCAAAATATGACCGGTCACTTTTATCTATCACCAAATGAGGTTAACTCTTCGATTGGGACGGGTCAAAAGTTGACCGGTCACTTCCACTAAAAAAGTGACCGGTCACATTTTGGGCGATAGCCAAAATGTCGCCTAATGTTACAAAGGACATTCTAGAAGACCAGAGACGGGTTGAGCACAAAGAATGACCGGGTAACCTTTGAGAGAAGGTGACCGGTCATGTCACTTTACTTTGCAAACATTGGTTCAGTATCTCAGGCATGGTGAACCACATATGAGATCGAGGGACCACCCCGTCGTTCGTCCATCACGAGGCAAACAGTGAAAGGAATGTTTGTCATTTTGCAGGGCTGATTGGATTGAGAATATCCATTTATAGTCTTTGATTGAACAGTACATGTCTTGGCTTATAGTTACTAAATTCATTGATTGAATAGTAGATTGATTATGTACAGTGACCTTCCTCCGGGTTTCCTATTTTGTCCATGGATGAACAGGGGAAGGTCACAAATCCTTCTCTATAAATATGATGATATTGGATAGAGGAGGGGATCCATTCTTTCTCTCACTAAAAACTAGTACACTCTTGAGACAGAGTAAGAAATATATTTCGGACTGAGGAGATTTACCCGGTCTAGGTCATACTTTGTGTTCTTGTTGTGTGTTTATATTACGGGTCAAGTGTCCAGGTTAAACCCGGTTAACCCGTTCAGCTATATTTACACCATCAACATTCATAAAAAAATACATTCATAAAAAAAGTTACATTCATTAAAAAAATATTATATGCATAAAAAAACAACACTACAAAGAAATTACTAATTATTCGAGCGACTAAAAATATCTTCATTCAAATCCGAGTTGTAGTAACATATTGCAAACTGAAATAATTCATTAAATAAAAAATACAATCAATAAGAAAAGTATGTTAAATTAAAAAAAACAAAAAAATTATATTACTAAAAAAAATTAAACAAAGAAATACGAAGTATTACATTAAACAACAAAATATAGAGTAAAAAAATTATGTTTGTGTATGTTTATTTTAAAGAGAGAGTGGGGAGAGATTTGAAGCACGTTAAAGCTTTGAAGCACAAGAAATGAGGTCCGGATGAAACCCCAAGGGGCGGAATTTGCTGCCCCATTGGCATTAAAAGGAGCAATAACGCTCCGGGTGTTATGCCCATTTTTATATTTATTGGATTGGAGCCCTTAGACTCTAGTGCACATCATTGATCGATGGGCCCAGGTGATCATGTCTGGTCCACTTTTGGACCACTCTATGTCGTTTGTGTTCCTCCTACATCTTTCTCGAAAGTTGAAACCACCTCTAGTCCGATCTATTTTATTCGTCCCTAAATATTTTTCAAACTTGTAATCTTGAGGAAAAATATTAATTTTTTTTATTTCATTTTATTTACATATTGGTATAGAAATAAAAAAATAAAATTTACATGTCAAAAAACTACATGAAAAGTTATTCGAAATAAGAGGTGTCAAAAATATTTTATTTTATCAAATACGAAGTAACTAATGAAAACTTAAAAATAAACAAAAATTCTTGCGACTGCCGAAAAAGGAAGTGTGAAAAATATTTTTGGGACCAAGAGAGTATATCAAATGATTATCATCGTATGGGAAATTAGTTTTTGTCCGTGCACCCTTAGCACCAGTGATTTCCCGAGAAAGTTTGCCCAATTTAACTCCCTTTAGGGTGGGTTCAGTTTTGGCAGTTCAGTTTTTACCCAAAATCAAAGATAAAATGGAAGGTAAGTCGGTGGTTCGGTTCGATTTGGTTATGGATAAAAAATATGTAAATCATTGGTTATTCGGTTTTATACAGTTTTATTTTGGTTTTTTCCGATTAGTTCGGTTTATGAAAGTAGAAGCTTATAAGCATTAAAAAATTATAAAAATACTAACTTGATAAAGCAACAACAATATGTGGTGTTAGGTTTGGTTTATTGGTTTGATTTTTACTGTTTCTTTTTGTTCAATTTTACATAAAAAAAATATGTGTTGAGTGTCCAACAAACATTTAGGAGATTCCAAATACTTCCAAAAACGTCGTATGTAAAATCAATTTCGAAGAATTTGTATTTTTTGGTATAATATTTTCATTTTCATTATAACATCAAAGTATTTTTTATGTAAATATATACTTTCATTTTCATATTTCTAAATTATGATTAGCTATTGGTGTTTATATTCTTAAGTTTTTTTAAAGTTTATAATAATATGGCTAAAACACCGAATAATAAAATCTGGGTCGGCACCACACCGAATAATAAAATCCGGTAAATAAATAAATAAAACAGAGAGAAAGTATTTATACGTGGGAACTCAAATCAGGAGAAAATCACAAACCTTTTTAGGCGGTGTCATGCCACGGGAGGAACTTTTATTAATCTTGGAGTAACTTACATATACACCATTGTAGGAGCTTGAAGCCATTAATGGAGCTCCAAGCTTAAAGATGAAGAAGTATCCTATATATCCTATCCTATATCCTTTAATATAATATTTGAGAGTTTGATAGCTTAGAATTTTGACACGTGTCAGTTGAAGAATTTTATTTTAATTACACATCAGCCTTCTTCCACGCGTCATTTGTTGGAGAGCCGTTCAACATATGGAAGAAAAATTTGAGGAAAGTTCTTCGTTCCAGGCAAATCGGCGAAGAAGGATCCCCATGAAAATCGCGGATCTATCAGGTCCAAAACAGAAACTTCTTCGTCCCGGATCTAGCGCAACTTTCCTTTCTTCGTTCCACGCAAATCAGTGAAGAAGGAACCCAGGAAAATCGCGGATCTATTGCGTCCAAAACAGAAGCTTCCTTCTTTGTCCCGGATCTATCGCGTGCAAAACAGGTATCTTTCTTCATCCTCACTAAGGAAAGACTCGAAATTAGCTATGTTTTCAAATTTTTATTCTTTTTTGTATGTATGTACAATCGAACTAAATCCGGAATTGATATTACGTTTCTTTCCAAAACAGTATTTT